ATATTATGTGATATTTAATGTTGTAAGTATACATTTTTGAATTATGAAATCCATTTGGAAAGTCACTTTTACCTAAATGATAAAATAAAATAAAAAATTGTTTATTAATAATATCTTCATAATGTATTATTTACTTATAAAAAATATATTTTATTGACTATTTATTATTAAATAGTCATTAATTAACTCATTATTCACTATTTAGAATTGAATTATTTAACTTTTATTATTATTTAAGCGTATAATATTAATACGTAAAGATCTTATAGGTATTTAGTTATATTTACATTATGTGATAAGACTTTCTATTTGAATTTGTTTTGACAATGATGAAAATGTAGATAAATCCAAATAATATTCATCACCAGTTAATGCTCCATGTATGTTCATTGTTCATGCACATCAAACGGTAAACTAATTGTAATTGGATCATATTTATGGAACATAAATGATAAAATATAATTTAAATAGTATGTTATAGTATTATATAACATAATATACCTTATATAGTTGTTTATACTTACATTTTATGACTAGACTTTTTTTATAACAGTCRGTAACTAGTCCATACTTCTTGATGACCCGTGGTATTGAAAGTTATCAACTGATTAAACTTGTTAGTTTTATTACAGTACTTTATTTATTAATAAATCAAAATACTACMGTTTTCAATTTGCATACATATTATTGAAAAATATTTTTTCTAGTTTAGGCTAGTTGTTGTTCGAGCAATGAAATAATGTACGTTAATATGTATGTCACTGTTAAATATTATCAAATAAACATTTTTCTCGYTTTATATCTTGTTTGATACTTGCATTGATAAGTACACATTACACYTTCTTTGTTGGTAATTTAACGTTTAAATAAAATACTTTCTTAAAAATGGAAGTTTTTGAAGACATGGGTGCATTATATCGCGAATGTCTTGAAAATAATAAGGATCACATTTTAATTGCTTGGTTTAACTGGTTTAAGATCTACTTAATTGAACTTGACATTCCCTCAAATTGAATAGTAAAGACTCTTCATGCAATTTATTAATTGATAAACTTGAAATAATTTTAATAWATGTAGGTAGGTACCTTGTATTTATTTATTTTTTATTGTGGTACTGAATGCCGGATACGCCAAACTGTTTTCTGTRAACATGTTGGCGACAAATCTATACCTACGTAATATCATTACAATGTATTTATTATACTATAATACTGATCACCGCATAAAGTTGAAACATTTAAATAATTGAATACAAAATATAAATTACTATTTATTATTTTTTTTATAGTACCTATTTTTATTTTATATTACCTATTTCATATTTACTATAGTATAATAATAATAATGACATGTGTGTGAATCAGTGATAAGTGATAAGACAGTATACCAAGAATMAATAACAAGTGCTACATTATGTAACCATTGTAACCATGTTGGTAAATTGTAAAATGTTAGGTTAGGCTGTGCATGCAGCTGCGGRCTGCAAGTTTGATGTTGTTCACTCGACTTGTCCTGGTGGGAGTGGAGATTAGATTRGATAGAARGTGCCAATGTCCAATTGATATGACCATTGTACTATTTGTACTTATTACTAATTGTTATTATAGTTATTACTTATTATCAATTATGACYGTTTGGGTATCGTTAAATTGAGATATAGGTAATCTCATTTTAACTTCTGGTTTTTACTGTCGGGGTTTGATAAATTGCCCAGTAGCAGTAAATGTAACGAATATTTAAATGTTAATAAGTCGCAAACGGATTACTCAAATTAAATACTGAAAACGTTTAATCTWTTTTTTTCAATATGTTTATAAATTGGCTATTTTGAATTTTTTCAACAAAATTTAAATCAAATTTTATTTTTTTTATTTTTTGTAGAAATAAATAAAAATTAAAAAATTAATGTTATATGTGTAGAGCAAGCGTCTATTAATTATACAAAAAAAAAAAAAAAATGAAAAAATATTGATTAGAATAAAAGTTATTTCATTTGTCAGAACTCCGTGGGGCACCTGTATATATATATAAATTATATTTTTCTTTTATAGAATGCATCATACAGAGACAATGTTGGTGATCGTTTAAGATCCTTAGAATATGATGAGGAATTTTTCAATTCGCTAACTTTTCGACAACGTGATGGTTTAATTATGATAAAAACTACATTTGAGGAGAAGCCAACTGATTACTGGGTAATAAAACATTATAAGTGTTCAAATATTGAAAATGTTCCAGTTAAGGATAGGTAAATAATTTATCATTAATTTACTTTTTTTWAAMTATTGTCAATCTTTTTCAATAGGTATTTTTATTATCACTTCATTTCATGATTTAAAAAATAATAATTATAGGTGGAAGTTTAGTGAAGCTGGTGTTAAGTTGTATACGAACGAGAAGTCAAAAGACCAGATATTGAATGTAAGTTTGAATCAAACCATGCAATCAATATTTGACTCAATGCTACAAGACCCAGGACGTCGTACAATCAAAAGTAAAATAATAGGCTAATTTTTATAAGTTTTTTTATTGAATAAACAATACAATATATTATATAAATATTTATTTATTTTATACTATTAAATCCTGAAGTATTAAGTCTGACATTGCATTAAAATGGTATTGTAATATTTCATATTACAATATGAATAGGAATGATGTGTCATCGTTTTGTAGATGAGTGTAATAACTAAAATCATAATTTTGTATATACTGGTTTGTGAATTTCATTTCTCTGACAACTGATAGGTAGACCACGAACGTCGTTTTTTATTAGATCGTAAGCTGTGTTAAATGTGGCTTGGTAACTCGGTAGACGTTTCTGTTTTTCTGCAATGTAGAGATCTACACAGTGTTGAAGCTGTTTAAGTCTACATAAATCTATATGTGATAAAGTAGTATAATCATCATTGATATGTAAAGTAATTGAACTCTGCTTAACATTAGTTGAATATGTAAAGTTATCAGATATTTTTGTTCGTCTACATCTGGTRTGTAAATTATTAGTWATTKAAATGTAATTAGATTCAGACATGAGTGTAAACCATTGTTCTAAGTTTAAAGTAAWTATCTTCTTTGATAATTTACATTCTAATAACACAATAATCGAAATTTGTTTGTTATAAACCGACTGTAACGCTCTTCTTATTATACGGACGAATGTCGAAGGTTGATTTTGATACGATTATAGGTAGAACCATGATGAATAATATATTTTATAATAATGTTTCAGACTATTAATATAAAAAAATCTAGTATAATGTAACTGATGGAACATGTACTTTGAACTGAGGGTTTTCTTCATCTGTAAACATATTATATACTAAATCTGTTGTAAAAATGGTAAAAAAAAAATGTGAACGTACAGTTCAGTAGATTAGTGTGTAGTAGTGAAGGGAGTAAAGGGAATTATTTATACTTACTTACCTGAAACATGAAATTAACTTATTAAATTAACTTAACGCACTAATCCACTGAACTATACGTCCATGAGATATTATGAATTAAAAACTAACACTTATAAGTTGTTTATAATATTTTTTTTATTTATTACAACATATAATGAAAGAACATGATTTAGCAAACGGTGTCGTATGACCTAGTTTCACAATTACAAATATATTATAATATAATATATCTTAATAATAATAATAATAAAATACTTGTATTATGTTATTATTTTGTAATTATATACGAGCAAGTATTACATATTAAGCATACTGTTTTTTATTTTATAAATATAAGTTGTGATAAGTTGTGATAAATGTACAAGACTTACAGTAAGTACAGTTGTTATTAATATTTWTTAAGTATATACCTACATATTACTATGGTTTATTATTGCTGTGCTTGGGGCTGTTCAAATAAATTATATCCCTCGGTATACTGGTATTTGTATTAGAATAAATTATTTTTTGACTCACACATTTATCTTATTTGAAGCTGTACCTATCTTCAAGAACACRRGSAAGATAATTGATARCAATTTTTCTTGCATAAACCATATATAAAAACTTAACTCCACTCAAAATCTGTATAAAATAATAATTGTTTTTAAAGATTATTAAGTTTAAACATAATAATATTATAATTATAAGTACCTATAACAGTATATTTTATCACACTGTTCTTCAATTGCTTATCATCAATAATATAAAACATAAACATTCACCTCTTAGATAAGGATGGCGGCCATTTTACTGGCGACAATAATAATATCGAAGTTGGCTATCTAGTATTTTTATATATCTGTGGTCACATCTCTAAAAATTACATTATTCTTATGAGAATCTGATAAGAATGTCCACCATATTGAATGCAAGCACCAGTGTTGCCAAAAAAAAAAACTTAAATTTACCTCTTACAATACAATAGTTCAGCTATTGATTAAAAATAGAATATAATATTAATAGTAAATTTAATTAATGGTTCAGCTAAACATTTTATTTATTTATATTTATATTTTTAATTATAAATACAGTTTATATTGTAAAATGGGCTGAATAATAACATTATTAACTTTGCAGTATCATAAAATAAAACCCTATAGTTTTTATATAGTTATTAAATAGTGGAAAAAATTCGTTTTTCCCAAGAGCCATTATTAATGCCTTGGATTTTTTTGTTTTGTCTCGCTAAGTATTTAAAACTAAAACTTTGTTATTTTTAAATCGTAGTGCCTAAATATTTATTTTATAGTTTTATTTAATACACTAAAATTTTTGTCTTTGTATATCTTACTATTTTTACTTGTCTATTATTTTCATATTGTGCCAATTCATATATGTTTTTCATTCTTTGTTAAAGGGCTTTGGCTCGTTGATTTTTTATAAATAAATAAATAATAAAACAGACAGAAACAGTGATAGAGGTACTTCAACTTGAACATCAATTTAAGGTTTTAATCCTAGAAATAACCAATAAGTATTTATTTATAACAGGTTAATTAGTATTTTTCTTCTGAGCGCTGTTTTTGTTAGCAAAGTCAATTAAAGCAGTAGAACAACTAATGATTTTTTTCAACTTATATAATAAAAATTAGTTTCTTATTTTATTTAAAAGAATAATGCAATTCAGCAATGTAGGTACATTTAAAGTTAAGTTTTCACAATATATTCATAAAAACTTATGGTATCTTTATTCAAAATGTGGCTTTTACAATTAGTCAAGCAACATTTTGAATACTGTTTGTTCCTTTTACCAACAAAAAACTTCATTGTGCAAAATTAAAAAAAAAACACACAAAACAGTTATAAGAATAAACAAAACTTGAAAATTTTTAAATTTTAGTGTTCAGTCACAATTTTCGAAACAACGAAATCACGTGACTTCCATACACGACAACGGCGGTAAAATAAATAGTTATTAGTTAATCAGTTTAAGATATCACAGATATGTGAATAAATATCGTCACAACAGTGTCACCATATGCAACTCAAAATTAAAAATACATTAATATTTCGTTCGTGGGCAAACTGGTGCTTGCATTCAATATGGCGGACTGTTTTTCGGGCGGCCGAGGTGTCCATTCTGATTTCATATATTCTGTGGTATCACCACACTGWTATTATCATTATTGTTATTTATTATTACTGCTTTGAGTCGTGCTCGGGAAGAGACGTCTTCACCGGCCGACGTACACACACTAGTGATTTATAATATATTATTATTTATTATTTTAACACGTATTATTATTTATATTTATTTGCTGTCACCCATTCCGTTCAAATTTGAACACCACATTCTAAAGTAAGTAGTTGTCCGGCCAAATGCTAGTGAATAGCCGGCGGCCCAAACATTTGGTAGCAGAGCGTGGTTTATATATATATATATTATTTAATTACGGTGTTCAGGTTTGGATTGGGTTCGTGACAGTTTGGGTATTGTTCCCGTTAGTTATTGTAATATAGTGCTGCTAGATCGAGTGTTCACCCCGTGGGTTACGCGCTCGCACCTTTAGCTTGCGTCCTTCCGAGCTCGTAACTAGCCTTGTCATGGCTGCTGTGGAGGACATGGAGCGTGATAAGCGCGCGAAAGACAGGGCATTGGCCAAACGAGAATCGTACGTCGCTCGTATTAAGGATATCCACGAGACGGCTCGATTGGCTTGTGATGATGCAACCATGGCGCCGCAGCTGCTTGCGGCTTCCGTCAGGCTGAATAATCTGGTGGACGGGTTCGAGATTGAGGACGCTGCGGTGTTCGACGCTTATGTGCTCTCGATATGTTGCGTGAGTATACGACTGACGTTGTCGTTGAAGTGAACAATTGGGTAGATTATATCCGGTCTATTGTTTCAAAATATCAGGTTCAACCTGSGCCGCCGCAAGTGACCCTCACGTGAAACAAACCCGCGTTTTCCGCAGATTACCAGAAATTCCGTTACCACAATTCGACGGCGATGTACACAAGTGGCCTGCATTCCGTGATCATGAAGTTCCTGTTTGGACTAGGTCCTACACTCCATAAGAAAGCTATATGAGCGTAGACTCGTACCCCTTCAAACGGAGGCACCTATCTTTCTTTGTGGTCCGACAGGCATCGCCAAGTGAGACAGACTTGGAATAGCCTGTCGCCTCCACCGTCCGTGGAGTTTTTACGCCCCCCGATCGAGAGAGGTTTTTCACTAGCTACCAGTTTAACTTCGAGATTTTGTCGTTTCTCATTGTCGACCACTGGTAAGGCCGCAGCACTATCTAACCCGCTACATAATATGGGTTAAGCAACCACCACCGACAGAGTGGCTAGATTCCCGGGAGAATGCTCACCGTTAATTTTTGCCTGATCAGCACGCGATCAATAACCACTTTCGTCAAATAAATGACTGCCACTACGAATCCGATCCCAGACGTCGGCATCAATTTTACCCGGCAATTGGGCCCAGACATCGTTCCCGTAGTACTCATCCCAGGTTTTTAATAACCAAGCGTCCAGAATGCGACGTACCTAACCTAACCGTCCGCATCTCACATGGCCACTGTAGGCCAATTCTATCCACTAGCTCTCTTAGTGCGCTTCTAGCGCCCGTCAGTGCTTCACAGTGGAATACGACATGTTCTGCCGTATCCAAAGCTCCACATGACTGACATTCGTCTGTCTCTGATTTAGAGAAGCGGTGGAGATAAGCCATGAAACCCCCGTGTCCCGTGAGGAATTGGGAGGATTCATGATCCACCACCAACCACTTACACTTCAACCTTTCTTTCACTGATGGGAAATAGCTATATGTGAGTCTACCCTTCTCACTAGCCTTCCACCGTGCTTGCCACTCTGTAAGTCCCTCTTCCTCTATTAACCTTTCCTGCTCCC